AGGAAGCTACAAGGAAGTTGAAGTAGGAGGAAGAAGAATTCAGAGGTAAGAGTGAGGAAGAGGGAGAAAGGGGGAGGGTCTGAGGGGAGGAATGAGATACCTGAGGGAGTTTGCGAGCGAGTCGATACGATCAAACATCTCCTTCCTTTCTTTGTCCATCTTGTTGTTCAGTCGATCTGTGACCTAGCAGCAGGACATGTCACAAGGGATTGAACATGTCACAGGGGATTGAACATGTCACAAGGGATTGAACATGTCACAAGGGATTGAACATGTCACAAAACCCACCTGGGCGACAGCTCGTTCGATCATCTTGTCCACTTCCTCCTGCTCTCTCCATCATTTCTGTGGCTTGCTTTTCACTCCACTCCCTTCCTTGCCTGCGTGTACGTGACAGGAGTCGTCGGTCTCGTCGGGACTTCCGGTCGCGCAAGTCGACTTGCCGTCAAGTCAAAATTCACCAAGAAGGGAAGAACATGGAAAGAATTCCAACAACAGTGAGATAACAAGCAACGTAAGATTTCTCATGAGTATCACGATCTGTTCTTGATCGTTTCATCTCGGTCTTCAAAGCACAACAGTACATTCTCGTGTCAACTCGTGGAATAAGACGTCCTTGCAGAAGCAACACTTGTCCTTGCACAGCACAACACCGTAGTCACAGAACACTCTCACCGCGCAACATCCTGTGTGACTGGGCGTTTCCTGCATGGCAATCATCGAACAGAAGCGCAAGAGCAGAAGCAAAGTCACCTATCCTTGGGTCGGATGGAAGTTGGAGACACGGGAAGACTGTGTGAGAAGGCAGCCTTGTCCTCTTTGTCCACCGTGACGAAGTACTGCAAGGCAAGTTGATCCAACAGGCTGGTCGAGGAGGAGGAGGAGGAGGAGGAGGAGGAGGAGGAGGAGGAGGAGGAGGAGGAGGAGGAGGAGGAGGAGGAGGAGGAGGAGGAGGAGGAGGAGGAGAAAAAAAGAATAGAGGAGGAGCAAGGGGAGAATGGAGGAGGAGGAGGAGAATGGAGGAGGAGGAGGAGGAGGAGGGAGGAGGAGGAGGAGGA